TCTTAACTTAGTTTTACATTTTAAACAAACAAATGGTATAACAAGTAAAAAAATGTTTTCAGTACTTGAGATTATTTTAGAAAAACTATAAAAAACACTTAATTTATTGCATTTTCATCTTCAATTACAAATCCTAGAATCTCTCACATAGTGAGAGAGCTTAACTCTCTTAACATAATTCCTTCTCTGTAACTCTTCCCAGAGCTTCATATATACATTTTAAAACATGTATTTCGTTATTTCTTCTATTTTTTCTTTTCTGTTTCTTTTAAGTCTCCCTCTCCAAAACCCCTTACACACAGACACACACACAGACACACACCACAGTACATATATTCATTTAATCCTCCTGACAGTCTCTTCAGCACAAAGCTTTCATCTTCTGAAACCTCTAGTTCTTCTATTTCAACTGTCCCCTATTTTGTATTTTATTGCTTAAACAATTTCTATTTGACTTTTAAGAAAGTTTTGCTGGTGCTAGGAACAAAGTTGAAATGGCAGGGTATGTGTCTTGCATTTATTAGGTCCAGAGTTCAAATCTTAGGCACCTTTCTCCCCTTCACAGAGAATGAGGAAAATAAATAAATTTTGCTAAAATTTCATAATCATTGGAAACACTCCTTTCCATTTCCCTCACTATAAAAGAGGTCTTACCTAAGAATATAGCTGTGCTCCTATTTCGCTGCATTTTAGCAGTAAGTGTAATCTACCATTTGAACCAGGTTTTCACATCTTTATATCTGTCTAGCTCAGATATCTATCCTACTTCTTTAATCTACAAACTCTTTAATGAGTGTTTTAAAATATATCCCCAAATATTTAACGAGCGGGTAGGGCGTTCGCCTTACAAGCGGCCAACATGGCCGACCCGAGTTCGATTCCTCCGCCCCTCTCGGAGAGCCCGGCAAGCTACCGAGAGTATTCGATATGCCAGACACAGTAACAACAAAGTCTCCAATGGAGACGTTACTGGGCCCGCTCGAGCAAATCGACGAACAACGGGAGGGCCTTTACCTTTTTACCTTTTAATATTTTCTAACTACAAAATATGTATAGGGCTGATGACTTATATAAAAATGAAAGAAAAAATAGTGCATATCCAAGTTTTATCCCTTTTATTCATTTAGAGACAAACACTGCAACCAAGATTGGCTCAATGAAAATAATATGAAATGGTGACCTGATGATGCCACTAATCTATTATGACAGATTTGGAGCTAATCAGGCAAAGTAAAAGAGAAAACTCAAATATTTTGTTTGTCCTTATTTGCCCATGATATCTCAAAAATCTTCCATGAAAACTCAAAAAGCACTTTAGATGTCTCTTAAAATAGTATAGGCCTGAGGTTTCCAAGTTTATTTGTCCTATTATCCTCTGTTCAGAAAAAAAGATACTTATAACTTCCTGGAAATCTACCTTTTAAAAAAGTGAATGGAATACCATGCAGCTGTTAGAAGAGATGAAATCATGAAATTTGCATAAAAGTGGATGGACACGCAGAGTATCATGCTAAGTGAAATTAGTCAGAAAGAAAGGAATAGACATAGATTGACTGCACTCATTAGTGAAATATAAAGTAGCAAAATATGAGACTAACACCTAAGGATGGTAGAGATAAAGGCCATGAGGATCATGCCACGGTTTGGAAGTTGGCCCAACGTGCTGGGAGAAAAGGCAGCTGGGATGGAGAGGGGACCACTAAGTAAATGATAATTGGAGGGATCATTCAGGATGGGAAATACGTGCTGAAGTAGACTAAGGACCAAACAGGATGGCCTCTTAGTATCTGTTTTGCAAATCATAACACCCAAAATGAGAGCGAGAGTAAGAAGAAACGTACCCGCCACAGAGGCAGGGGGTGGGATGGAGTGAGACAGGTGGGAGGGACACTGGGAAAAATGGTGGTAGAAAATGTGCATTGGTGGAGGGATGGGTTGCTTAATCATTGTATGACTGAAACAATCATGAAAGTTTGTAATTGTATCTCACGGTGATCCAATAAAATTTATTTAAAAAAAAGTGAACTAAGAGCCTTCCCCTCACAGCCTCCCAAATATCACCTAAAGCTTCTATTGCTCCCAAGATCTTTCTGGCATCCTTCATCCCCCACCCACAGGGAAGCGTATCTCCTACTTTGGAAAACAATAGCATATACCAAAAACCTTTTAATCCAAAATCTTATTATTTCAACTCCAGAAAGCTCTACTACTTTCTACAATTATTTTTAAGCTAAAAACTATTACCTATATTAAAACATCCACTTTAAAACAGTTTTGTAAGGACCGTTTCATGTTACTAGTTTTTAGGATAATGAATAAAGAAATATGTTCCTCTAAGAAAAATATATCAGGAAAGAATTCTGTCATAGTATCTAAAAAACCCATTATGATAAGACCTTCTTCATGGCAGAATTTTGGAAAAATGTCACTTTATTTGACTGGTCCTACCTAATAATACAAACAGATTTCATGGTAATTGTTTTAAATGTCATAAGTATAAAATTTTTCTATCTTTTGCCTTATATGCTTACCCTAATATTTTCTTAGAAAATTTTAAATGTAAAATATATGTATATATACATGTATAATGGGCTGGAGTGATAGTGCAGCAGGTAGAGCGTTTGCCTTGACGCAGCTGACCCGGGTTCGATTTTTCTGCCCTCTCAGGGAGCCCAGCAAACTACCGAGAGTATCTCGCCCGCACGACAAAGCCTGGCAAGCTACCCATGACATATTCGATATGCCAAAAACAGTAACAACAAGTCTCACAATTTGTTGTGAGATGTTATTGGGCCCGCTTGAGCAAATCGATGCACAACAGGAGGACAGTAGACAGTCCTGCAGTGCTACAAAAATAATAAAGTAAATTTATATAAATATATATACACAAATGTATGTGTGTGTGTGCATACATGATATACACACACACACACATATTAGCCGTCACACCTGATGATGCTCAGGGATTACTTCTCGCTTTGCACTCTGGAGTCATTCCTAGCAGTGCTCAAGTGCTCAAGGGTGAACCATCTGGGATACAGAGGATTAAACCTGGTAGGTCATGTGCAAAGTAAGCACCTCACTGGCTGTACTATTTCCCCAGGCCCCTCACTATCTTTATCTTATTTTATCACTGCCTACATAAATAAGCCCAGAAAGGTTATCCACCAAGCTTACATCTTCAGAATAGGACTCTGCTTAGTAAACTAGTTGAAATCTCATGACATGAAGTCTCAAATTAATTTTATTTAGAACAGAATATTGTACATAACTCTACTTGCTGTTTCAGGACTTCAAGATTATTTTCAATAATGGCATAAATACCTCTGAGATGAGAAGTAAGGGACATGAAGCAAACATTGCATTCTTAAGATGTGGTTCATAAAGATCTACATTCTAATAACTCCTTTCTTCACCTATGTTTTCTTCTCCTAAAATTCACCTTCATCAGAAACATAAGGTTCACTACTGCATTATTTAAATTGCTGTGTCAAAAACTCTGCTCTTCTTAAAAGAAGGGAGACTTCATTGAAAAGAACTCATTAATCTTTAGCAAAGAAAGTGAAATGCACTCTTTGATTAGCATATTCATTTATCTGCAAGTTTTATACAGATTTTGTTTACATTTGTTACAGAAATTTAAAATGCAAGCAATTATGTATTGTAAAGAAAAACACTATCATATTCAAATCTGTTGAAAAGATGATTCTGTCTCACAATACAGTGCATTCTTGGAAATCATGAGATAAACTGTTTTGAAAGGTCAGGTGTGCATTATAATTCCAATATTCACTTCTGGGTCATGCTTGAGATACTATACACACAAGTGTGAGTCAGTCTCACTTGCTCTTAGCTGTCTTGTATTATTATGAAATGATGTTTAAAATGTCATTGTTACAGGAAGTATAAGCATGCTAATAAAGACTATTCAAAGATACAAGTGACATATTTGCCTTTTCAGCTAAATATTAGCATAATGTTAACAACCATCTAACACATTTTTTGCTGCACTATATCAAATGAAAAAAATTAAGGTAAGTTGAACATCGTATTAACAACTATAAAAACTATAATAAAATATGAATTATAATTACTAGATAAGTCCTTTCTGATATAATTATCCTACATGCTATCTTCTAAAATACTACATAAATAGGTTTCAACTGGAATCTGTATGGTAAATTCGCAGTTTAAAAAAAGTCAATTATATATTTTTATATATTTTATACATTACATGTATAATATATTCAATAAAAATGAGTTGTTATTTTCTCCTAAATCAAGAACTTTGAAGCTTCCATATTAAAATCAAGATTCAATGTGTGGTAAAATAACATGACCTATAGTTTAATTTTTCTGACCTCTGTCAAATGTCTGTAAAATAAAGGAATTTCACAAATGCAAACTATACAAGGTTATCCATCAACATCACACCTGATAAATGTTTAACAGCTCATAACTACATGAGGGAATTAAAAAATAAAGTTATGAGTGCTTGGGTTCTTTTCATTTTATACTTTGAGAAATAAAACAAATTTAGAAATCTATATTTTTTTGATTTTGAAAAGCAGGAATAATTATTTGGGTATTATAGAGACCGACAGTTTTGGGCTTGTAACTCCAACCTTTTCACGAGGCAAGGCTGAGACCATTACAAAAGCATGCGATGTTGAGTATAATGAATAGATATCTTAAGATCTTTTCTTCAGACCCAAGGAACAGTCAAGGCAACTGCTAATTATCTGTAAATTGTGTTTCATACTACTAGCTTCAAGAAATCTCAAACTCTACCTGGTTCTCCTGTGTGCTCTTCTGTTTATTCAGACAAAAGGCCCAATACAGAGTATATACAGATGGTCATAAGGAAAATGACAAGTAAAATCCGTGCATGAGTTATCAGTACCGAAACTGGAGGAATATCTTTATGAAGAGAATACAGATGTCTGTGTCTGCAATTCCAGAGTGAGCAGAATAGAGAGAAATGAGGACACCTGGCTTACCTCTGGTGTGCCAAGAGCATGTTCTCCAGCCAAAAGCAGCATGCTCAGGCCTCCCATCTGAGTAGGATCTAAACAGGTTAAAACAAACAAGCATAAATTTAAAATCAAAAGTATGGATAATCCAAATTTAGTGAAAATAAAAATCCTCACAGAAACTACTGATTCCAACAGAACTACCTAAGACTTTTTCCAGAATATTTAAAAACCTGTTATGTAGCAATAATCCGTATGTATGTTCTCAGTACTAATGCAACTGTGAGTCATTTAAATACTATGATTTTCTACCATCCCACACTTCACTTTTGACAAAACCACTGGGTTATAACATAAATTATCTATGAACTGGAGGCTTCTTTTCCTTACTGAATAAGTTTAAATGATTTTCTTTTAAACAGAAGTGTTTATGATTGTTATTCTCAAACAAAGAAACAAACTAACAAAAGAAAAATCCAGGTTACTAAGCTAACAAGAACAGAGAATTTACAAATGGAACTCCAAAAATCTAGTGAGGCTTGTTCAAATAATATCTTTAAATTTTCCAAAACAAATTTAAACAATGATCTATCTATCTATCTATCTATATATCTATCTATCTATCTATCTATCTATCTATTTAATTTTCATTAGTGAAACACCATGAGGTACAGTTGTAGACTTACAAGTTATTGTGCTTGGGTTTCAGTTATACAATGATCGAGTACCCATCCCTCCACCAGTGCCCATTCTCCACTACCACTAATCCCAGTATCCCTCCCACCCTCCCTCATCCTCCCATCCCCCCCTGCCTCTGTGGCAGGGCACTCCCTTTTGCTCTCTCTCTCCTTTTGGGTGCTGTGGTTGCAAAAGAGGCACTGAGTAGTAATCATGTTCGGTCTATAGTCTACTTTCAGCATGCATCTTCCATCCCGGGAGGATCTTCCCAAAACCTTTTATTTGATGCTCCCTTCTCTATCTGAGCTGCCTTTACCCCTAGAGTGTGCGGCTGGCCTCCAAGCAATGGAGTAAACCTCCTGGTATTTATCTTGGCTATTCTTGGATGTTAGTCTCCTATCTTGTTACTTCATGTTCCCCAGATGAATGAAATCTTTCTATGTCTGTCCCTCTCTTTCTGACTCATTTCACTTGTCATGATACTTTCCATGTAGTACCACTTGCATGTAAATTTCATGACTTCATCCTTTTTAACAGCTACATAGTACTCCATTATGTAGATGTACCAAAGTTTCTTTAACCAGACATCTGTTCTCAGGCACTCAGGGTTTTTTTTTTTTTGACATTTTAAATCATGCAAGTCTATAGAGTCAAGACCTTGCTTGAAATAACCAAATATCTTTATTTTTATTCTATTAAGAGTCGTTACTGGGCCCGCTCGAGCAAACTGACGATCAACGGGAGGGCCTTTACTTACTTACTTACTATTAAGAGTCAACAGAAACAAATTAAAAAAAGTATTAGACTTATGATCTAGGGTTACAGCAAGGGTAAGACAAGAAAACTATATCCTTTCTATTTTTCTTAAATGAATTAATACATGAAACTGTCCTAGTATACATAATCAATAAATACATCTTTAATTTTAGGAATCTCACTACAATTACAAATGAGAATGAGACTTAGAGTTGTCTGAAGGCATGAAGGTGCTTTTGTTCTCTTTAAAAATATTTTCTTAATTAAAAAATTGTCCTTTTAAGTATATCTTTATACAATCTGTCTTTACAACTCAAGAGGCAACTGATCATGAATCACGACCTTCCTGTTATTCGTTGATTGCCTCGAGCAGGCCCCAGTAATGTCTCCTTCATCCTAAGCCTGAGATTTTTAAGAAAGAGCTATATTCAAGGCTCTTTAGGAGAATGAGACCCATCATTGTTACTGGTATTTGGCATATTGGGTACGCTATGGGGAGTTTGCCAGAATCTGCCGTGTGGGCAGGTTACACTCGGTAGCCTGCCAGTTTGCCCAAACTGATCACATATGGTCAAATATTAAATTTCATAATATGACTGTAGCACTGTAGCACTGTCCTCCCGTTGTCCATGGCTTTGCTCAAGCAAGCACCAGTAACATCTCCATTGTGAGACTTGTTACTGTTTTTGGCATATCGAATACTTCACGGGTAACTTGCAAGGCTTTGCTGTGCAGAAAGGATACTCTTGGTAGCTTGCCAGGCTCTCCAAGAGGGGCAGAGGAATCAAACTCAGGTCGGCCCTATGCAAGGCAAATGCCCTTCCTGCTGTGCTATCACTCCAGCCCACTAAATGACAAAGAATAAAAAATAATTTCAGAAGGAAAACAGAAGTCACCAAATGCTCAGTCACTAAATGAATAAGTCAATGAGCCAGATGTGAAAGGTAGTAATACAGGAAAAAAAAATCAAATATCTAATACACGGGAACAATTGGCTAATTTGATGAAGCAAAACTCTTTGTTATCTTAAGATTCCATTCTTCATGTTATGTTTAAAACTATTGTGACTGTTAAAAGGGACACATAAATTTAAAAATAAAGATATTTTTCAGAAAGAGAAAATGAATTTAACAGAAAGTAAAAATTTAATTTGATTCTTTGAGCAGCTAACTACCTTTATAGCTATCATTCTAGAGATCATCAAGTCTTAAAGCCTGATTTTTAATCTAAAATATTAGTCCAAATATAAAGTAAAATAGCATACATAACAATTTAGTAACATATAATGTAGCTTTGCAAAAATTCTCTTTATACATACAAAAATAGATCAAGAAATTATCTGTATCTTTTATGGTATTCATTGTGGTGCAAGGAAAGTAACTAGAAACTTAAAAACATGTTTAAGCTTTATTAAGCTATACAATATACTAACTTAACAAAGGTTCTGATTGTGGATCTCCAAAATGTAACCCATGACCTTGTGTAATCTTATGATAAATGAAAGTATTTTTCTTCTTTCCTCTGTCTTTATTAATTTCTGAAAGCTGACAAATATTTTTGCTCAAGTTTAAGGTCCTAGTTAAAATTAACAGTAAGATAGTTAAAATGGACCAAAAAGGCATTTCAGAAATAATGCTATCTTTCAGAGTTTTGCATAATTTACTGTTATTTGATTTGTAAATTGCAGCTGTATTGCAAAAAAAAAAATCTGCACAAACTAATCTAGATTTAGAATTGGAGAGAAAAAACAATGATGGTCAGAGAATTTAATTAAAAGCCAACCACCTATATACTCTTACTTTTGGTATTGATAATAAAATGTTTTCGAATATATTCCATATTATCTGAAACTTCACAGAGTTCAACAAGATAGCAGCACCTGAACTGAAGCTTAAATCGCATGCAGTGAGAGCTTTAAAAAGAGCATTTCTATGCTTTGACTCTTCTAGGACTAAGAAGTATCATTTTGGAAGTTCACCTGCATTACTTATACAACAATACACAATCACCTGAAGACTTTGCTTCCCAAGAATGCTACCACTGAGACTGAATTTCTTAGCATTTATATGACACCAATACAAATGGTTATAAAGAATCACATAATGAACCATTATCTTTATACTTATGAACTATTATAAAAAATTAACTCTCATCAAATTACTACTGAACTTGCTTTCCAAGGCTTTTGATATTGCAAATGGTTCAATGCTCAATTTGCTTCAACTAATGAAACAGGAGTTTATAGCATAACACCATTGCTTCCATTCTGTTCAATGTGTGCAATTTTTACTTTGATTTTTACATTGTTAATAGGCAGATAAGAAAGTTATTAGCAAAGTGAATCTAAATACTTTAATTTTTTGGTAATAAATGCTTTAGCATTCCATACCACCCAAGGAGTATTAAAAGTCCCATAACAAATGGTGCCATCTGGAACTTTAAATTTGCTTGACCAATTCAGGAATGAGAGTGGGAGAAGGGGGCAGGACAGAAATTCCCTCTAAGACACAGCTGTCAGATCCATCTCAGACTTGTGATGTGTGTTCATATTCTTTCTTCCAATGTTTCAGATCCCAGATGGTCTACATAATTGTGATTTTTAAAGAAATAGCTTAAGAGTGTGTATGTGTGTGTAAACTATTTTATTACACGAAAGCATTCCTCATTGAGCTTCTGATAATCTCCACATTGCTGTCTTTGCTTCATAAATTGTTTATGTCAGAATATCTCTCTCTGTCTCTGTCTTCTTTGTCTCTCTCTTTCTCTCTCTCTCTCTCATACACACTTACTCTAACACTGGTCTATATCTTCTTTACTTAATTGTGAATATACATTCTATACATGTCGTATTCCTAAGATTTAATACATATGTCTTTGTTCCACAATGGTCCAAAATTAAGTGCAGGTCAGAGAGTACAGCAGGTAACATGCTTTCCTTGTACATTGCTGGCCCATGTTTGATCTCTTGTACCACATATTGTCCCCGAGCCCTGCACTGAAAGAGCAGAGTAAGGAGTATGTCCTAAGTACCACTGGTGTGGCCCCCAAACCAAACCAAACTATGTTCTTCTCTCTGTGCTGCACACATAGATGCAATACTATTCTGTACTTAAAAAACAGGTAGAAATAGTATTTGAACTCACCAGCCATCCCAAAATTGAGCTGAGGCATATCTTCAGTCTTTGCTTTCTTAGGGCTTGGCAAATCTCTTGAAGAGTCAGATGGGAAGGCCCACAGCTTCTTTCGTGGATTGACAGTGGATGTTGGGGATTTCACAGGCTTGTTAGTAGTAGGACACCATTTGTAGCCAGGATTTGCTTTCATAAATGCATCTTTATACTATAAATGAAGGGCAAACAAGAGGTTTTTAATTAACATATAAGTTAAAAAAAAGTCTTAATAGCTTTGCACCTCATCTGATCCCATAGAAACAGAGTGATAAAAGTACTTTTAGTTTAACTAGTTATTGTGGTTTTCCTCATAAAAGAATGGCAAACTGAGCACAGAGATTTAAAATAGGACATGGATTTATCTACCAGAAAGTACATTTAAAAGTTATGGTAGAGAGCTACATTTTTATATTTTTGATCCTCTACTTTTAGTAAAAATAAAATTATCTAAGGTTGGTGGGAGGAGCTAGTTATTTGTAATGGAAAAATCAGCAACTGGAGAAAAAAAAATTCACAGTTCACAACTTACCACTACAAATTAGGGCTACAGTGACCATGGATAGGTCATAGTTCAGAGTTTTCAGAAAGGGAGAACATTAACCACATTGTCATTTCAAAAATTATTTTAAACATTGTACAGTATGTCACATTTTAAAGAAGGGACTAGGTTCACGACACAAAGTGTGAGTCAATGCTGGGGGTCCAGAACCAGATTCCAGCTACTGCTTAATCTGGTAAATATTATTTTAAACATCATTACATAAAGTAAATGCAGGAAAACTTAACAAACCAGAGCCATCAATTATGGGACAATTACACAAAGATAAAGAGTGGGGGGGAAAAACAACCAGAAAGGGCAAACTCAAACGTAACTTTTCCACTATCTGAAGACACCTGGTCATGCAGAATAAAGTCCTGATGACATGGGTTAAAAAAAAACCTGCCCCTGCTCTTAGCCAGCTGTAGACAATAAGCAAGTTTATCCTCTCACAGCCTAATTTCTCCTTCATAAAGCATAGCTATACTAGCCAACATTCTAGAATTTTGTAATGAGCACACATAATCACAAATGTAAACATGCTGAGAGTTGTATGATATTAAATTAATCCACCAGAAACTTCATGTCTTTACTTGGAGACTTCAGTCTTCATTGGCAATATTTCCCTTCTCTATTTTTCTGTGGTTTCTCTTGTAGGGCTGATAGTGATCTTTCTCCCAACTCTACCACATTTCCCCCGTTTTGTGAAAACAAATCGAATGAAATATATGTACTACTATTTATTAAATATTGCCAAAAGTTCTATCTCATGGTTAAACATACTTTCCATGTATTCTTCAACTAGCACATTATTATTACAAGACGCTTTATTATATTAAAGCAGTTCTTTCAATCCCATTGGCTTGTTTCTTAAAATGGTCATTCTGTGTAACATAAATTAATTTGGCATAAGTCTCCAATAGATTTTAATTTAATCTAACAGGGGAAAAATATTTTCATCCTTAGTAAAAGGCAAGTTTATAATTTTGTAATACAATCTGAGTAAACTTTAAACCTACCACTTCACGTTAAATCATATATATGAAAATGGCACTGCAGAAAACATATATCGTTAACAGTGAGTCAGAATTATTTCAAAGTTATCAACTCAATATTTTTGAATAAGCCTTAAAAAATTAAAAGCTGTACACTGTATAGGAACATATAACAGGAAACATAAAACATAATAGGACACAGTCTCACTCTTCGTAGAAAATGCAAGAGCCAAATAGAATTTACTATCACCTAGCAGACCAAATCTGGAGGTATCCAATATTATGTAAGACACCTTACTCAGTATATTCACGTGCACTAAGGATTTACATATTAAGCTGAGGCAGAAAAATAGTCTTGCCTGCTGTCTGGAGGTAGAAAGTGACAAATGGCAGGCTGAAGTGAAAATGGAAGTAGCAGACACATGCATCATTATTGTACTCCAGTAAAAGGCACACAGTCTGGGTTTGTCAGATGAATGGTCATTTGGACAAAGGTCACCACTCTATAAAGTGGCAAAAGACTTTCAAACAAACTAATCAACATATTGTCATGAGAACATTCTTTTATTTCTGTGTGTGGAAGTTTAGGTTTTTAAGATGTGCCCGTGGTAAAAGACACTGAGCAAATGCTTCTAGCTTTCAGATTTCTTGTTTCACAGGTGGCTCCTCCATCCTGTCAATGTTGATCTGCGAGATGAGTTATCCCCCCATAGTCACACATTCTATTTCTCCTACACATATTTCACCCACCCACTTCCATTTCAGTTAATTTTGAGCTAGAGACACTAATTAGACACCAGGAATGAAAAGAATGAATTAGTATCTGCTTGCCAACTGTTTACAATTCACGGTTATACAAAACAGATTATTTCTTTTTAACACACAATCTTGTAAGTTGACTTCTAGGATCAGACATAAAACATGGCTTTTCAAAGGATCATCAGAGGGACAAAAAACTGAGGGGAGGAGAAGAGCCTGGAATGTGTGAAGCTTTGTGGGAAATAGCAATTGAGAATTCACTATGTGTCAATATTCTGAAAGTGCACCACTATATCTTTCAGATATTTAAACTATGTAAATGTCTAATACCAAGATAACAATCAGTAGTTCAACCAGATTTATATGCAGTAACAGGGTTATGAATAGAAGAGAGAGAATGACCCTTGTTCTTGAGGATTTTAAATTTAGCTAAAATTACCATAAATTCACATCAAGACACATAGCTGAACACAAGTGTGTGCACACCACAAGGAGGGGAAGGCAGGAAGAGCCGGAGGAGATAAGGATACCTATCTGCCCTTGGAACTTGGCACCTCATCAATCACTTGCTCTGATTCAGCTGCAAGAAACAACAGAAAAACTTTATCATTTGTTGTGAAGAAGTTAGTATAGAAAGGATTATAGAGAAAGCTAAAGAAGGATGAAATGAGGGAAGATTCCACACAGTCTGAAGCAAATAGCTGAGTGAAACTATTAACATGTGGACAAAAAATCTCTCATCATAGGACTGAAAGGGTCAACCGAGTTAAGTCTCCCATCTGTATCCCCAGTGTGGGGGATATTCATGTTGCGGGTGGAGGGGAGGCTCAGTTTTTCTTCAAGAACATCAATCACAGGCTGTTGGAGCTATCTCAAGAAAACAAAATCTCTCCTGAAATACTGATTTTCAAAATCTTCCATTAAAATAAAAAATTCATCTCATGGTTTCCATTTTCTTTTCCTGCAAATTTCTTTTTTTTTTCTTTTTGGGTCACACCCGGCAATGCACAAGGGTTACTCCTGGCTCTGCACTCAGGAATTACTCCTGGCGGTGCTTGGGGGACCATATGGGATGCTGGGAATTGAACCTGGGTCGGCCTCGTGCAAGGCAAACGCCTTACCCGCTGTGCTATTGCTCCTGCCCCCACCTGCAAATTTCTTAACAATTAGATAACTATTACTAAATCTACTTATCAAAGATAAGTTCATGACTTATCAAAGACACTCAGAAAAAGCTGGCTTCTGTTTCTTGGACTCCAAATACATTTTCGTTAGCAAAAATAATAAACTGCCTTTAGTCAGCAATAGTATTAACTGAATAGTGGAATAGTGTTTTGACATATATATACATATGACAATGACATTATGATATAACAAAAGAAAGTATTTTATTTGTAAGAATGGAAACTCAATCTTTAGAAAGGATCTTAATATCAATGAAAAATATCAACTGTACCCCAACTGTCCGCAATTGAGGGACAAATGTCTCTAAAATTAAAGAAGTAGGAGTCGGACTGACAGTACAGTGGGCAGGGTGTTTGCCTTACACATGGCTGACCTGGGTCTGATTCCCAGCATCCCATATGATCCCCCAAGCACTACTAGGAGTAATTCCTGAGAGCAGAGCCAAGAATAACCCCTGATCTGTATAAATAAAAAAATGCTGATTCTGGTATAATTATGTGAAATATAACTATAAAATAAAATCTATCAGAATGTAGAAGATTAAACAGGAAATCATCTGAGTTTTATTAAAGTTTACATTTAAAAAATTTGTAATTGTTCGGGGCTAAGTACAAGCAAAATTTAAGTCCTGATATAGCTCTATCTCCTAACGTTGGCAAGCAGAAATCACATCATAGAAAGGTGAAAAAGAAGAGTAAGATATGAGAAGAGGCACTAATTTTTTCTTCTTAGTTCAAAAACCTTTTCTATGCAACTTCTAAAAATATATATTTTAAGCTCAGTAGGAGCTTAAAATAATTTGTATTATTATGCTAGACATTTTTAATGGGAATAAACTGAAAGCTTTTACATGGTAGAATATTAATCTATCATTTTGACAGAATAAGCATATCATAGCTATACCTGAGAGGATAAACCAGTTCAGTCATTCCAAGAAATATTATACATTACAACAAGTGATGAAACTCAGTGACCCGGGCATTGTTTACTCCACCGTTGAAAGCCATAAAGAAAATACTGGACACAAGAGATTTGAATATCGCTATGATTACCTAAATTGGCTGGAAAAATTATTGTAACAACAACAGTAGGAAATGTTCTGCAATAGAGGCAGGTGGGGGGTGGAGGGGGAGAACTGGGACAATGGTATTGGGAAATGTGCACTGGTGAAGAGACAGGTGTTAGAAAATTGTGTGACTGAAACCCAATCATGAACAACTTTGTAACTGTAAAGAAAAATAATGTCATTTTAAATAAAAAAAATAAAAGAGGATAGTAGCTTACTACTTGCTTGACCTTAGGGAAAACACCCAGTGCAGATGAAGCTAATCAATGTACACATTCTATCTCATAGTCTGATCTTACCAAGTAAGTGTATGTGTGTGTCTACCAAAGAAAAGGGCTGTTTGTATATATGTGTGTTAAAAGGTCACTCATAAATTGCTTTAATTTCCCAGATCCTCCTTTCTCCTCTTTGTACTGTTTCTGCTCTATCTAAAGGTCAAGAAATATAATTCTCTAATCTGACTGTGAATTAATTATGATCATTAGTTTAAGTGGTAAGTAGAAGTTTCTAGAAAAAAAACCTACAGAAATGCACTATTAGAGTTTATAAAGATACTGAAAAATAAGTAGAATAGTTTCTGTGCTCCTCAAAGGCCATCACAAAGCCGGTAATTACAACCAGTGAAC